TATCTACGACTAACCTGCATATCTGAGGGCAGAGTGGAGTAGATGGGTAAGATAATCAGTTCTCGCATTTTACTGCCCATCTTCTTTGTCCTCTCAAGGAGGGCTTCATTGGCCGTTTCAATTTCTTCCTGGCCTGTTAGGAAGACGAGTATGTCACCCGGCGGCTGGGTCACGTGAATCTGCAGCACGGTGATAATAGCGGCCTCGATGTAGTCCGCTTCTGGTGCCTATACAAAAAAGAAACGTAAAAAATTAGCCATGTAATTAACGACAAGATGCACATAATTAAGGAACAGCAAGTGCTCGATCGATTGTTACATGAAAGTCTCTGACTTAGATACCAAAACAACTTGCTCTCCACCGTGACTTTGCACAATGTATCATTAAAGTTCATAACGTAGACTCGTTAGTTGTCAATTATAATACTCGAAACGTTGTATGCGAGACAGGGCGGATGGGTGTGTGGAGCTGCATGACTTACTTTTGTGTAGTAAATATCCACCGGATATCTACGGCCAGGAATGCGGAAAATCGGTGCGCGGTCAAAGAAATCCGAGAATTTCTGTGCGTCCAAAGTAGCTGAGCTTATTAGGAGTTTGAGGTTTGGACGGAAACGAGCCACATCCTAAAAGAAAAGCCATCCCAAGAGCACTTAATAGTGACGTACTGAAAGAAATCTACAAAAATCACGTGTGAAGCTGAGATTGGCAAACACCAGTCTTGGCCGGTGCTACTCGTGTGGGATAAATAAACATAAAAATTATTTTACACAATAGGACTCACTTTCACGAGTCCAAACAGTACGTCAGTGTGAAGAGTGCGTTCGTGAGCTTCGTCAATGATCATGACGGAGTAGTTTGCGAGATCGGGCTCCGTGAGGAATTCACGCAACAGCATACCATCTGTCATATACTTTATGACTGTTCGATCCGAAGTACAGTCTTCAAATCGAATGGAGTAGCCGACTTGCATGCCCAACTTCACCGACATTTCCTGAGCAACGCGGGCAGCCACAGACATTGCAGCGACGCGACGAGGTTGAGTGCATCCAATGCGCATACCTCCAGCACAATATCCCTAGAAGATGCACTTTATAGATCTTACTGAAAGTATGTGAGTAGACAGGTTTTTAAAGAAAATTACCCACCGCCTCATAGAGATACTGAGGTATCTGCGTCGTCTTTCCAGAACCAGTTTCACCTTCAACTATCAGAACCTGGTGGTTCTCAATAGCTTCAAGGAGAGAGTCGCGAAATTTGAATATCGGCAGGGACCGTCGAGATTCCTGGAGGCTCCTCTTCTGCTCCTCAATGATAGGTTTCATCCTTTCTTCTTCGGTCATTTCCGGCTTGACCTCTACATTTTCACCCGGTCGTGTAAGTGCCTTCATGAACTCAATTTCGTCGTCCAGTATAAGTTCGTATTCATCCTTAAAAAAAGCAGGGGAAATCAGAGCGAATTAGCTTGAGCGCTGAGTGTGCAAAACAGTATGGTTCAGATGAATGACGAGAGTTGTTTTGGTGTAAAGTAAGATAGTTCATCATCACTTCTTGACTACGAGGATCAGCCTTTATTTTTGGTTTAGAAGGTTTGGTAGGCAGAAGTTCCCATCAGAATTAGTGAATCTTCTTTGTGACTTCTGTCCATTTAGCCCCTTCAAAACTAGCCAACCTACAGAAGGCTATCGGTCAGAAGCAATAGCAGACTAACTCTAAGTGCCGTAGTGGTGTTGGTCGTGGCTAAAAACTAGAATTTAACTAAATTGATAGACAACTGTAAATCATGAGCATACTTTGGTTAGACATCAGCCACAATCGCAACGTCCTCTGTTGAATGCCAAGCACAAAGGCAATAGGTGAATCGAATCTACAAGAAAGCCTAACGACTGTCTCGCACACTCAAGTCACTACCAAAGCTGTAGCACCAGCTATACGCTGGCAACGAATAAAAGCATCGTGAGTAAATAGCCAATGAGAAACAGGACTATCTAATTTAGAAGGCATTAAGTCCTCTACAGCTCTGGTACGCAATTATCATGTTCGTTCGAAACGCCAGTTACTTAATATATCTGCCTCGCTCGCACTGCCATGGATGAGGAGGGGGGGGAGTGAAGGCAAAAAAGTTCTTCAAAAGATAGTGAAAAGTATTGTCTCAGTAAAAGGAGGCCCATCTTGCTTACCTTTGTTTTCTTATCCTTGGCTCCATGTGAAAAGAGGGCCGAACTGATGTGCTCCTGTTCCCAACGCCGGCTTTCACCGTGAGGTCCTTTTTCGTTTTCATCTTCGTAGTACGTGTCATCTGGACGCTAGAGGACAGGGATTATTTTATCACAGGCGCAGAACTATATGCATACCTTTGTTTCGGTTGGAATAAAGTAATGCGGTATAGTCTGTTCGGTTGTGACATCTTTATGTGCGGTAACGACCCCCATAATGGTCCGTTTGTACTCTAATTCCGCCTTTTCGTACTCGGTCAACCTAAGAAAACAGATAAACAGCAGAAGCATTACTCACTCCTCCTCCCCAAAAAACGTCTCCTCGTCTCTAATTTCGGCCTCCAGATCATGCAGTTTGTCCGCCTGGCGTTTACGCAGGTACTCTCGTCGTGAGCGCTTCTTCAACTCCGCTAACAGCTCCTCTTTACTCTGGGGAAGATAACAAAAGAAGCAACGTGATGAAGACCTTAGCAACCAGACCCACCACTTCACCAGCCTCCAGTCTCTTTAGGTCCTCCTCGAGTCTCGAAGAAGCGCGGTTGCCAGGGGCTATCTTCTTAGTGGCCCCCTGATCACGGTCAAGAAGACGCTTAACGAAGGCGTCGCGCTCCTTTAAGTCTTCCTGCCTGTCTCGCTCTTCCTTTTCATACTCCTCCAAGCCATCTCCTTCATCTTCTTCCGCCGTTTTGTTTGCTGTCCTGGAAGGTAGCTAAATGAGCGAAGGATGAAAGTGTAACTTACGATGTTGCCGATGTCACTGATGCGGCTACTGCTTCATCGGCGGACTCCTCGCTATCACTCACATGCCGTTGACGCAGGTGTCTCTTGCGTGAGCTCATGTTGCGACTGAAAGAAAGGTCAGAAAGGTTAGTCGGACGCTAATAGAGCTTATTCCCTATGGGAAAATGTAGCATGACAGTAATCTCTTGAATTAAAACAGCCCAAATACCGATTTGGTCCGTGTGAAAAGGGTGGGATGAAGATCCTGCTAATAAAATTCCCCTAGAACACATCAGAACACATGCAATCGCCTTAGAGTCTACTAGACAATGGTACGCTACTAACTGCCTGTTGGTAATTTATGAATATAACGCGGTTAGCCAGTTGAAGCTAATGGTTTAAAATTCAAATATTCATATAACATTTTCGACTGAGCCTACAAAGTGTCATCACTAATGAGTTTCTTCACATTAGTGCACTACCTTCGGATGGGATAAAAAATGACATATCAAAACTTAAATATCTACCAGAAAGCATCCAAGAATTGCTGAGATACTTTGACATCAGCCGAGTGACTATCGAGGAAACACCTATGCCATCAGCATGGTAAATAAAGCAACATGAAGCTGTCCGGCCCATCGCGAATTTGAACCCTGTCAACGACACACTTTCTAAGCTCCGTGGCTTGCGTAGATAATGTTAGTTTACAGTAGTGCTGGTAAGAACCTGGGAGGTTAGTTGTTACTCTGCTCGGAGTTAAAAATCTATATGAAGCACTGGAAAACGATGCGTGAATACTCATGAAGACGAACGAAGGAAAACACCAAAGATACCCTTCCGATATAGAATGCGCAGGTCTTTCACCAGCTCCTACACAAACATGAGGTACCACTTGGATGGCTATAACAGTCCCCGATGAGAATAATGTAAAAGAAAGCGAAGAGCCAATGGCTCAATTGGAACACCGTCTGGATCGAACAGGCATCTAACAAAATTCATGCATCAGGGCAACAAACAATGTAACAGTAGAAAGTGGAAAGCGCAATGGCCCAATTGGCTGATTCGCTGGTGATTACAGCAAAGGCTCACCGATTTTGCGAATTAATTTAACGTTTAGGGGTTCATGGGTTTAACACACCAGTTGGCCAATTGGAGCGGTTTTATGGGCGCTTTAAGATAGGATTAATGGATACAGCGTTTAGGTAGCAGTTGTGAAGTCGCTTGGAACCACCTTCAAGTAACTGCGACTTGGAGCTACGGCGCTAAATTAACTATTTAGCGACTGTTGGAGACATAACTTTGCTCATTATTTCCAAGAGGTGGTATGCTATATGCTTGAACAATGCAATCTAACCTATGCTACGGCGTCTTTGGAAATCCATACGATCTGAGACCTGCAGTACAGTAGTGAGTACGAGAAACAGTGAAGTTTTACTGTTCCCTTGTCAACGGACACTGCAGACTGAAGGCTGAAGTGTACGAGTATGGTGCACATAAAATGCGCAAAAAATAGCCCCTGAAATCTACGAAGTCTTGAAAAAATACGACTCAGAAGGGCTCGTGC